TGCATGGCAATCCCTTCTGCTCTTTAATTTCCATCTTGTTATGTAGACGATTTGAGATGGGGAATTTTTATGATTCCCTACTCTGTGGCAAGGCCAACCCCTGGTGGCGGTAGCAGCAGCAGCTGTGTACGCGGCCCAGACATCAAGTGGCGGCGGCTAATTAACGCCACTGTAAAGAAGGGAAAGAAATGCAGGGCAAGGCTGGGGAAGGCTGGGGAAGGGTAGGGCCAAAGCAAGTGGCAAGTGCCCCGTTAAAGAGGCAGCCAGCAGCCAGCAACACACGTGCTCCTGGAGCCTCTGCTCAGATCTTCAGACCTATCAAAATTATGTTTTCTGACACTTTTTCAATTCCAAATATAGAAGGACGCCGTGCCCGAGGCCCGAAGCCCGTCGTCTGTATCATTTCCTTTTCAGTGCCCTTTTGGGCATCGACAAAATGAAAACAGATGTTGAAAATCAGTTGCACATTAAATGCCACTCATGTGGAAACTTAATTGTTGCCACAGAATCAAACGGAACACGAGCCGAAACCGTTCGTCCGATCCATCACTCCAATGGATGTCGTCCGTGAGGGTGTTTGATATTTCGCCATAATTTGCTGGCTTCTACGTTTATTTGTTTTGGCCAAAAACTCGTTGGGCAGGGGGGGCAGGGCATCCTGCGAAGTATATATAAATAATACACGTACAAGTTTATTTTGTGTGTGTTTTTGGCGACATATGTTATACTCGAGAGCCCAACCCCCTCTGATATCTAAGAGAGTGGTCAGTGGCAATCGATTGATTGAGTCAGTCAGCTGGAGGCCATAAGTGCGGTTCATAATGAGAAGAACAGTAGGGGGAACTGTGTATATGAAGAATGAATATCATTGATTGCTAATAAAGTAAACTTTGAAATTGGATATTCGAGGGTTGAAAAGTTTAGCGCGGAAATTGTGACTGAAAGAGCTCCAAATATAAGGGTTTTATAGGGTCTGCCATGTAGACAAAAAGCAAAGGGAACCCTGATAGACCTTGGGTTATTTTTCGAGAGCGGAATGACAAACGTAGCGTACAGAGATTCCGCAAATAGTTCTTCAGAAGAGAAGAGAATTTTAATTGTTCTCCCTGTCCAATTCTCTGCCCGCGTGGGTGCTGACGTCGCTGCCGCTGCCTCCTCGTAGGGTTCTGCCCGATCTTCGTGGACTGCTGCTTCCTCTCTGCTTGGCTCTCAGCGCTTCGGTTGCCTGCCTCTGCCGGCGGAGCTTCACTGCTTCTTCGGGATTTGTATTGTCTACGTTTCTCTGTTTGATTCGCTGCAGCGCTGGCCGATCTTCTGTCGGCTTGGATGCATTTTCTGGCTCGGCTGTGCTTTGGTTTTGCGGGCTTTGCTGTTGCTTCTGCTGTTCGGACCTCTGCCGATCCTCTGCCGACTGCCTCTTCTCGACTTCTCTCTTTGTATAGAAGCGTGTCTGTTCGTGTCTTTGCGTGGCCGTTGGTCTTTCGATATGCTGTGTATTTGCTGTGCAAATCTAGCGATGACACCTGCGGCTAGTGATGGCCTCTTAATCGATATTCCCCTACTTATTGGGCACTCATAAGGCAACCATTACTTCTAACTATAATGCTCTCTCCATAAACATCCTATCCACTTGTACCCCTCTACAGACACTTGCAATTGAACACTACCACCCCATTAAATTGCATTACATTAATTTAGCAAATTGCAACAACAAATACGCGGAATAGCGCATGGAATTTCAACATACGACGCACACATGATGCATTCCCAGAGACCCATGGCTTCCGAGGAGGGGGAGGGGGGGGGGGGGGGGGAGGGGGAATATGGGATCTACAATAAGAATTTTCCTGTGTGCAATAACTGCGCAATATATCAAACAAATTCACCTGGGACTCTATGGGACTATGGGCTTTCCCCCTCCCGCGAGTCGTCGCGGAGGGGATGTTCTGTCCGGGGCGCGTGAAGAACCAAACAGTGAAAATAAAAACACCCAGGGAAGAGAGGGAAAACAATGGGAAAACCCAAATGGAAATGGAAAGCGAAATGTGAATGTGGAAAAAAAAAGGAAGAATTTTATTTATATGCGATTAAATGCAAAAGGCAATACGGTTAGAGAGGGGGAACACAAATAATGGATTGAATTAAATTTTGGGCAGCGGAGGAAAACCCCGAGCAACTTTTCATCGTTGCAACGTCACGGGAAAAACAACAAATGACAACTGCAAATGGAGAGCAAACATCGAAGGGCTGCGGAAGGAAGGATAAACATTTGGCAAGTGAAAACCAAAACCGGAAAAAAGAACCTTGTAAAAAAGTGAATGTCAATGCAAAGGACATCGGTCGTCCTTCTGTCCTTCTTCCCCGTGGAAGGTCACCCAGAAACCACTTCCGTTTTGTGAACTTTACTGTTGTTCCAATGCTAATCCTGTAACTGAGATCCCAACTTCAAAAAACTCCGAAAAAACTAGGGGGGATTATAGCCGCCACACACACATTAGCCGTGCGGCCGTGTGGCCTGCGCCCCCGGGATACGGTGTACGGTATACGGTGTACGGTATACGGGTGTGTGCCTCTCTGGGGGGAATCTCTGTTCTGTTTCGCGCTAAGCCGACATGACCAATGGCTGGCACTTGTTAATTTCTCATACTAATTTCCACCCATTCCCCGGAATGACTCCCTGCCTGCCTGCCTGCCTGCCTGCCACACGGGGGCATGTCTTTCTCCATTTCTCTTGAGTTTTTTAAGGGGTTGCGCAGCGCCTCTTCGCTCTTCATTAATCACACTGATCGGTTTTTGAGCACGCACGAAGAGGCACTACGCAGCGCACACTATTTGCCATCATTTTTTAGGATTTGGCGCAGTTTTCCCAGTGGATCGCTGTTCTAAGTAATTGAAATTTCTCTCTCTCTCTCTCTCTTTCTCTCTGTGTGTGGATGGTATGTGTGATAAATTCTTGGTTTAAGCGCATGATTAGCGCATTTGGCTTTGCCTCTCCACCTCCTCCTCCTGCTCCTCCTCACCGAAAAACCATCTTCGTGCCTCGCCTGCCAACAATGGCTTCTAATTATTTATTACCCAAATGACTTTTCCTTTTGGCAAATACCAGTTTCTGACGGACTGTGATTGGCATTTTGGTTTTTGGGGACAACGAATCCCACAGAAAAGTCACGAACGGCATAGTCAAATGAGTGGGCAGAAAATTAACGCGGAATCAGGGAAAGAATTAGTGGAACATCCGAAAGGGGAGGGAAATTCTAGAGTAGAGTCCAGGCCATGGTTGAGCAATTTGATGTTGGTGTAGTCGAAAGGGAGAAAGTTACTGCATATAGGGTACTATTTTATAGCCCTTTCTTCAAGAGAAAGCGACGGGAATTACTTTCAGAGATGAATCTTACGAAGGAACAAACGTTTAAGGGACATATGGAATGGTAATGGGACTTTATGTGGTCCAAATTTCACGATTTCATATTGGGAATAACGCTGCATCTTATCATAAGAGATTCAATAAGACTTGTTTCCATGAATAACGATCCCTTAGGCAATTCCTGACTTTCTTTTACGATCAACTATTGTCCGACCCTGAATAATGTCCTATCTTTCGATTGTTTCCACCGAAAAACATTTGATTTATATTTCTGAAAAGTCGATAGAACAGTTTGACTCTTCTTCAGATCAGTTTAAATCTATTAATGGATACTTCGACCTTAAGATGAAAACTGCCACTTTTCTTGGCATATCTTTTATATTTCCGTTTCATTTTTCCAGCAAAATACATGAAAATCAATATAGAGAGAGTAAAGAGTATAAATCATATATTTCCCATACAAATAATACCTCAGCTCCTCCTCCCTTTGCAATCTCATTTCTTTTCCCCCATCCCTTTTTCAATCTCTTTGCCTTCTGTCATTCTATGAAGTCTTTTCCTTCTGGCGCAAATCCACAACATCAGCTGGTTCTGTTCTGTTGTGCCATTATCAAAGTATCATCATAAGCATCCTATTAGCTAGATCCAGGACTCCTCTATAGCCCTGTAGTCCTGGGCGGGGAGGACTGTTACTATTACTCCTCACTAAGCCGTCTGGACAAATACTTTAATACCCGCCAGGGCCGTTTCGGGAGGAAAGAAGAAAGCCTGCGACGTAAAAATGCAGAAATATGTTTTTTATGCCGCACGGCGGCGCATTCCTTGTCCTTTGGTCGTAGAAGAAGGCACTCCAACAACTGTGCAAATAAGTAAAAAGTAATCCTAATTACAATTGCAAGTTATAAATAAACATGGACAAGGGAAAAGTAGCTGGGAGAACGGTTCGTTCGCACAATGCCCTGCCCTGGCCCTGCCGTACATCCGAATCTGCGAAATGCGACGGCGACTACTGACGAGGACGACTACGATGTCATTGTAATAATGAAAATCCCCAAACAACCCATAAAAGGGATAAACGTAACGAAACGAACAGAAACGAAATGAATGAATGAATGAATTTTTCGGCAAGCTGCGAATGGTAGCGAATGGTAGCGAATGGTAACAGAGTAGCAGATTTTCCAGACCGAGAGACAGACAGCCGCCAGACGACGACAGTCAACGACATGTGCGACCTGTGCCTGTGCCTTGCTTGGGATACCCATTACCTGGCTGCGTGGAGTGCTGGAGTTGATGGGAAGTGTGGAGTGTTGGGGACGCTGTATATATAGAATATGGAGAGAGGTTTCTATTGGGATAGGAAGAGTTTTATTCAAGTTTTGGTAATGATATATGCCAAAGAAAAGGGAAAGATCCACTAGAGATCCTTTTCATGAAGAGTTTTCTTTGAAGAAGATATTGTTTACTCCCAATCTCTCTTTGGTGGACCTTTTTGAGTGTAAATGAGTCTCCCCTGCGTAGCTTTTTTATCCTTAGATATATTTTAAGCAATATTTTATAATCTAACATTAATTTTTGATAAGAATTCCGGATAACATTTGGTAGAATCTCTTTTAATCTATTTTCTTTATATTTTTAGAAATTATCTATCATACAAATCTGTAAAAAAAGGCCCTTGGTAAGTAATATATGTACATACCTTTATAGAAATCTTTTCTAATGTTTATATTAAAAATACTTCCATTATATCTCATTCTCATAAAGTTTTTAATATTTTCTGTTAATTTTCAGAGCTTTTCAGTCTCCTATTCCAATTATTTCCTTCAGTTCTAAGAGCCCTCTAATTGCTACACAGTATCACCCATTCGACTCCCCTTACACCATAAAATTCTCCCCCAAAAATACTGCCTCTCAGGGGTTATAATTTTTCGCAAATTTTTTGTTTGCTTTTCTGCTTGTGATTTCGGATAAAGCAAATCGCTTAAATAGCTCAGATCGCTGGATAGGTTTTCCTTTCGGGGTCGCATTTCATAATTACAAACGTCAGGCAGACAAATGGAATTGTTGAGCCCCGGACAGCAGCACGAACCCCGGCACGGCGAACGGATTCCGGGCCCAATTTTTGACAACCAATGCACCTTCGGAAAACAAAAGCGACAACAAATCCGAAAAACCCTTTTTGACTTTTCTAAAGGATCAACTAGCGACTGCATTTGCCCGACATAACAATGGAACAAATGGGCACAATGGGTGCCGTAGGGAGAGGGTTACCTGAAGGTAAAAACAAAACAAAAACAGACGGAAAAAGAAAAACACCGCATAATCATTGAGGAGAGAGTCTGTCAACTTGGGCCAGAAATCATCTCTATTGGGAGATCTCTGTTTTCGGCGTTCTGGATAAAGTTCCACTACCATCCATCCTCACATGCTCCCGAGGGGTGTATACGGGTCTTCTATGAAGCGTTAAATTGAAGCAATTTGACAGTTTTGCGTTTCAGTCATCGCCACACAGGACAATGGGCCCCGGGGAGAGGATGCTCTCTGCTCTCTACACTCTACACTCTACACTCTGCTCTCCACTCTCCACTCTCTATATTTGCATAGGAAAGTTGTCGCCTCTCCCCTCCTGTTTCCTCACCCAAAAACAATTCCGATTCGGAACCGCCTAAAAACAAAGTAAAATGTCAAGTTTGTACGGCTGTCTGTCGGTCGGTCGGTCTGTCTGTCTGTCTTTGTGTGGCTGTGTCTCTGTGTCTGTCGTTCTGTCTGTCTGTCTGTCCTTTCGTCTGTTGGCCACTGCAACTAATGCAATTCATGTGTTGACTATTTCCTCCGCTCGCTGGCAACCTCTGTGTCTGTCTCCCTTTTGTTGGTACTCTTTGAAGAGAGGGTATTACGATTTGTAGGTATTCTTTGTCGCTAAAGGTTATAGAGTCCTGATTAGCATCAATAGGGGGGTCAGAGGAATAGATTCTTGATCTGCTTCAACAGAAGAGCCGATAGCCTTGGTTTATGTCTTAAGGAACATTTTCCTCGAAAGATATCTGACTGTAGCTGTCAACCATGCAGACCATGTGAACACTATATCTTAGAGTTACTTTAAAAACTATCAATATTTGTATATGAATAACCTAATTGTGTCTGAAGAGGTTTCAACAGGTCCATCTAAATGTTATACGAAGTCTTAGAAGTTGAAACCTTGAGGATCTGAGGAACACAATATCATAGGGTTACTATAGAAACTATCAGTAATTTTATAGAAATGCCTCTATCTGTTTCTGAAGGTTCTTACATTTCATTATTTTTTTTTGTCTTTTATCAGAATTCTATCCCCAAATCCCATACCTACCATCAAAGGGTCGACATCCGTATAGGGTATCCATCGCTTCGACTTCTGCAGCCAGTTTTTCCTTCATGTTTGTGTTTGCTTATGTCCTGACAAACGTCCTGTCTGTCAATTTGCATGTTACCTTGCATTTCCATCGGCATTGAATTGCATTCTGCCGTACACAGAGAGGTTGGGGCTCTATCTGGAGAGCTTATCAGCTGCCTGAGCTCCTTCCTGGGGCACGTCCTTGCCGGCTTCCTTTGTCTATATCCTGTCTAAGGAGTGTGTATGTGTGTGTTTGTTTATCTAACTATCAAAGTGCTGCGTGCTGCTTGCATAACTCTACGATTCGAGTGTGTTAATTGCTGCTGCCCCTCCTCCACCTCCACCTCCACCTCCACCACCACCGCCTCTTCTGCTCCCCGCAAGTCCTTGCATTGCTCTGTGAATCCTTTGTTCAGTGTTAATATTTTCATTGCAGTCTTTGGGGTTTTTACTAATCCATTATTTAGTTTTACAACTCTGCTAAATGTGCAAAAATCATTGCCCAGAAGGCCAATGGACACTGGACAGTGGACACCCTCAACATGCATTTATTTAGATACATTTTGCAGTTGGTTTGGTTTTTACTCTTTGCAGATTAGAGGTTGCTGTATGTTGCATGTTGCACTTGCACACACACATTTAAAGGAGATTTTCTTATGGTCTATTGGGTCTTTGGTTTGGCAAAAGTAAAGCTGGATTAAAGAGTTCTTGATTAAAGACTTTGGCTCTATTCAGAGGCTTATTTCGGGCATGAATTTTAAAAGAATATTTTTTAAAGATCAATCAATTTTGTGCCTTAAAAAATAACGTTGAGTGCGCTGGGAGATCCTTAACCTTTTCCATAATTTATTTTGGGGAATCAATGATTCTTTAGAACTTAGTTTATTCCCTTATAAGATTGTTAGGCAAATGATATTAGCTATGGGGATAGGGTTGGGGAATTTGTTCATTTTCATTAAGGATTAAAGAGGAATTTTAGAGGTATCTCTTCTATCGCCCAGTGTAACTTTTGTTCTTTTTGTAACCAATAAAATCTGTTCTGATTCCTCTGAAAAATCAAAAAAAAAACCCTTCTATTTCCCCTTTAAAGGTGAAAACATCAGTTCAAGATTATATTCTCGGTAGTAAAAGGTTTATTTATGCACAAATTACAAGAAATCTGTTAGATTTTCACTGCATTGTTAATCGGAGTCTCCAGAGAGAGAGACCGTAACCATAGAAAGACTGCCATCAAAGGCCCGTCGGTTAATGAATTACCCAACAGATGTCTCTTTCAACACCATAATAACCCTTGAAATCAATTGCCCTGGGACACCCTTTAACCCATTCGATGCGCTTCTTTTGGCAGGCCTTTGGGGAATTTCGCTAACAATTTTGTTAATTTTTATCTATAATTATTTCACGCGTTTTTAGCAACGCTTCACGCCCTCTGGAGAAGGGAGGACATATGACAGGCAGAGGGCCCATCCCATGGACGGATGACAGCCAAAAGGTTCCATTAAATGTCCCAAAAACACACGCCCAAAAGGGCAAAGGGGCTAAGGGGCAGTGGCGGGTCAAACCCTTTTTTGGCAAATGTTTTTTCGAATAATGCGATAAATAAAGTCATTCAGTGGGACAGTGGTGCGACGACAAACGACGACGAGTGTTACAAATTGAAAGCCGACAACCGACAACCGAAAGCCTGCAAAGTGAACAGCAAAACGGTGGGGCCCATGAAAGCCATGAAAAGTGCAATGAAAAAGTAAATAAGGGGGCGAAATAAAATCAAATAAAATCGCTTAACACTCGTAGCCAAACTATGACAGAGTTGACAGACGGACCCGGTCGACAGACGGAATGCGGGGTACGAAATTTGCACGCATTTTCCCTCAATCCATTGAGAGTGCTTTCAACTAATTTTCACTGCGAAATGCTTGACAGGTGGGGCTGGGGATGGGGCTGGGGATGGGGACGATGGAAGGGCTGTCAGTCAGTGCGTCAGGCATTTATCCATTCATTCAGTCATCCATCCATTCAGTCATTCATTTGAAGGAACGAGAACGAATGGGGCTGCCAAACAATCGAAAGTGTCAATTAAAAGACTGGCAAAGTATTTGCGCTGAAAATGTTTTATTGTTTTTATTTTTATTTTTATTATAGGTTATATTTGATTTAAATGTTACCCCAAAAAGCACTGCTTCTGTTGCCCGCAGCCCGCCCCCGCCCCCGCCCCGACAGGCGACCCATCGATTTGCGGTCTGGAATGTAATCATGTTATTCGTCGATTTTTGCTTTCAATTGGAGGAAATGGAAATGGAAAATGGAAATTGGCGTGGAATTAAAGCAGATGTCAAATGAACGGTCATTGATCCATTGAAATCCATTGAATGCAGAGACGCTCGGGGTACGGTGGACGGTGGATGGTGGATGGGGGATGGGGGATGGGGGATGGGGCATGCAAGTGCTCTGATTAATGCCCCGCGGGATCGACCTCATGGCCTCTGGAGCGGAGCTGCTGCTGCTGCTGCTATATAAACAGCAACTTATGTTTAACTTCCTCAACAAAACAGGTCCCAAAGGACGGGTCGTTTCGATCCGTACCGTTTGCTACGATAATGTACCCCCGAGGAAGAGTGTTGTTTACTTAGAGGTAGTATTTTGTTTATCTTTGGGCAAGTATTTCTGTTTACCCAGTGGCTTAAAAATATCCACAGCCTTGACAATGCATTGTACTCGTATCTTCGATTGCTTTGAAGTAGTACGGCTCCCAGGTCCCAGGCGATGAAAACCCCATTGACATCAGGCACTTCGCAGGCCAAAGGAATAAACACAAAAGACATGTCATGGGAAATGTCAGTAGTACTCGTTCTTCCTGGTTGTCTGTTTCCCTGTAAACACAATTCAAGGTGATCTATGGGAAAGGTCCCGAGATGTGGCTTCGTGGTGGAGTTTACTCCACGGATTGACTGGAAAGATGCTGGCTGGCTTGCTCTTCTATCTATCGAAGATCTATCGAAGGGTCTATAGACCTCAAAAAGTTTTTCTTTGAAAGACTTAGGGAATTGCACATAATTTTTAGGACTTTATAATGTAGAAAATTCAAGAATATTCAAGAAAATCCAGATATATGTCTCTAAACTCTATTTTAATGCATTTTCATGATTTGTGGGCCTCTCCAAAGACTGTGCTCTTCGTTCTTGGATACTATGAACAGAGACGAATCATAGTCCTCGGACCTCGTTTACGGGGAGTCCCGACAACCCCCGCTTTTTTGGTCCCTCTTGCAACATATTATCATTGTATAGTCGTTGGTTCTTGGACTCTCAAAGCTCCCTTTCATCACCCAAAGCACCATCATCCATTGTTTGACCCCCAGCGAAAGTAGCAATTTTTAATTTCTATAATTTTTTTGTATTTTTGTATTTTTTTATGGCTTTTCCTTTGATGGTTTTGTCATGAATTATAACTCATTTTCCAATTAGTTTTCTTCTGTTTTTTGTTTGTTTGTTGTGTGTTTGCTTAATTATTTTTAGATATTTCAATTAATATTTATTGTTAATTCATTTAGCATTTATTTATAATGTTAGGCCTTTTGTTTTATAAATTATAACTACATTTGATCCACCCTTCGCTTTCCACCCCTCTTGGGGAGTCCCCCCACCCTTATGGAAAATCTGTGCAATGTTTTTCCGATTGCTTTTCCATAATTAATGTGTCAGAGAAATACAAAAACAAATGCGTGCCACTGTTGCTGCTGTTTAAATAATTGAATACTATATATTTGCCTTCGAAAAATGTACACATAATAAATGCATTTAAATGTAAATTTAAATTTAAATTTAAATTAATTTAGAAATTAAACTAGAAATCTGGAAATCAGGGGACAAGCTCTCTCGCGCGCACCGCAAAAGAACGAACAATATTCCTGTATATACGATAGTACGATATATTGTATAACTGTTTGTCGTAATTCCCAAACCAAAACTAAACTATAACCGTTCATTACATTAGTATCTTTTTTTACAGTGTACTCTTATTAATTTTTACAAAATGTAATTTTAACTTAATCTCTAAATCGTTTAATTTAGCTTTTTACGTTTTATTATTTATATCCATAATTTATACAAGTCTTGTAGGTAGGTTTCGTGATTTGTTTTTTGCATGATAGTGTACGTACGTAAGGGGGGGATCTTTCAGTGTTGCACAATGTCTAACAGTGTTGCACAGTGTGGATGTGTGTGGCTTGTGTGTGGTTTTTGTGTGTGTGTATTGTTCGGGCTTGAGTGTGCAAATTGGAAATCGTTTGGAAAGTCAAGAAATTGTGCAGAAAGTCGTTTGAGGAATAGACATTATTTTTCAGAGCCTAATTTTACTTTTTAAATATCTTTAAATATTGTTTTGCTTAACTTTTAGCTTGGGTAATGTATCTCTTTCTCTTTCTTTTCTTTAAAAACTCTCTCTCTCTCTCCCTCTCTCTCTGTCTTTCGAAAAATGTTGCACAAACATTTTGCTGTTGCTGTTGCTGCTGCTGTGTGGAGTGTCGTTCTCTTTGAGTGTTTTGTGTGTGTTTTCTACTATTTTTAAACTACTCTTCTTTTTTTCTTGTTACTTGCAATGTGATTTAATGCTTAGTGTTTCCTGTGTGTCTGTGTGTGAGTTTTCTTTTTAAATGCTATTTTCCAACACTTTTCTATGGTAATGTTGCCTGTAATTTTTACTGCTGCTGCGGCTGCTGCTACTACGAAGCTACTATTAGTACTATTATTAACTCTTAGTACGTTTGCTTTCCTTGGTGAATACTTAGACGAGTATGCGCATTAAACTAAAAAGGAACATATACATGATTATCCATTTAATATTTAATTTATAATATATACGATTTCTGTATGTGTGTGTTTTGTTCTTGTTTTTGTTTTGTTTTGTTTAAATATTCAATTAGTGCTTTCGTTTTTTTGTTTTTATAGTCAGAGTCATTTGTTGTTTTGTTTTGTTTTTTTTTCGTTTTGCGGGTTAGAATAAATTAAATGTTAGCATTTAGAACTGAATATTCCATCTTATCAATCGTTTCTATAAGTAGTTTGAATATATTCTTCTTGAATCACAAATCATTGATGAAAACTTCATTTTACTTGGGTTTTTGGGCAACGTCGCTCTGCACACGCTCTGCTCTCTTGGTCCGTTAAATTCCGTTACAATTTTTTATCATCATGCATCCTTCTAACATCCTATCATCATATATCCCATCTGTATCTCTCGACCTCTTCGCTACATAATTTTGTTTCGACGACATCTCCTCTCTCCTCTATAAGTTTTATACACAGAAATTTACAGTGGGGTTGAGTGGGAGGGGGGGTTAAGGGCGTTATAGATAGATACAGTCAGAGGGTTAAGGTTTACAGGTTTGACAGGTTTGACAGTTTGTGTTTTTTTTTTGTTTTTTTTTTTTGTTTTTTTTTGTTGCAGTGTTTTCTTTCAGTGTTGTGTATTTTTGCTTTCGAAAAGGTACTAAAAATCAGTTGAACTTTTTTTTTATTTATCGCTAGTTTTGTTTTTTGTTTTTGAGTCATTTAATCATTATTAATCCATTACAATACAATATTCTTTCGTCTGCTTTTCGTTTTATAAACAAATTAATGAATGTCGCTAAATGCTAGACCTTAAATTCGTTTTTATATATTCATTATTCATGTATATTCTCATTCATCTTTCAAGTGATTTTTCCATCTTTCGTTCTGTTTTTTCTGTCCTACGATGCGCATTTTGTTGTTTAAAATTCAGCTCTATGCAATGTGGGTATTCTATTTATATTTACAGGGTGTTTTACCATACATTCCTTTACCTATTTCGTTGGCATGCTCTCCTCTCCTCTCCACTCCTCGACTTGACACTACTCTATGATAGGTAGGCCTTCACGTTCGTTTCGTTTCCGTATCTGTTTCGTTTCCGGTTTGCTCAGTGGGTTTAATTGTTATCGACGCTTTGTGCTTGCTGTCTCCTCCTCATCAGCCTCTATCCATTTTGCTTCTGGTGTCGGGCTCTATCTTTCTGTACTTGACTTTGTAACGTTTTCTTGCTGGTGTTTGGATTTTCGTGTAGAGTTTCAGCGCTGTAAACGAAAAGAAAAGAGTGGAAATGATGGGTTTAGTTTTGAGAAGGCAGCATACAGTATTCTTTATGGGTTTATCATAAAGAAACTTGTCACAAACATTAAGAGGACTATTATCTATCTATCTAATAAAAATCATTACGATCGGAGCATTATTTTATACGGAATAATGGAAAAAAATCATGGATCATAATAATAACAATTATGAAAAAAATGAACGTAACTCTTTAATAAAAAATTTAAAATAAATATATATTTCGGATTCTGAAAATTAAATCTTAATTAAAAATTTAATATTTTTAATTTATATTCTTTATTTATTGATTTTAAATTTTAAAAAGTGAATAAATAAAGTACAGATTCGAATTAAATTCATTCCAAATTTAAAATATTTTTAATAAATTCGGATTGATTTCAAATTCGACTTATTTTCAATTTAGAAAATAAAAATATGCTATTTTTAATTTTCTTATAAATATTAAACAAGTTTAAGTTATAAATGAGAGTTTTTTAAGCATTTATTTGAAAGAAATAATAATAATGGTTGTTTAATGCTGTGCCAGGAAAAGTATGGAAAACGAAAAGTACAAATAGTGTTTCACTTTTTCGACTTTGAGGGACTTTAAGGGAAATGAAAGACACTTCTTTCGTTCTTTCATTCATGTTTGGAGTATTTTTTGCCAAATCTGACATCTTTTTTAGCCTCCACTATATTCTATAATATAATCTTTGATAATATTTGTTCTTTGTCACTCACCTCAAATCCATTTAATATGGGGTTTTCATCAATGATACCACAGCCTGTTGTTTTGTGTTCTGATAACACCGTTCGCCATTCCACTTCCATTTCCCATTCCATTCGCCATCGATTTTGTTAGATTAGTTGTTGAAGCTTCTCCATTGACAGCCGCCGAGGCCAGGGGCTTCATGGTGGCCAGTGTCCTGTTCTGATGGACACCCACCAGATCCTCACCGGGGGACAGACCGCCCGTCGGGCCCGTCAGGCCCGTCATGGTGGGTCGCTTGTAGTCCGCGTCGGAGCTGCCGCCAGGTGCTGCATCCCGTGTCAGCCGCAAAGCCTTGAGGTGTTGCCTCTGATGATGATTGTCGCGCAGTGTTGTTGTTGCCAGTGGGTTGTTCTTTGTGCCACCGCCTGTGGCATATTTATTGCTACTGCTGTTGTGCAGGGTTAGACTGTACTTGGGCTTGTTGCTGCCGCTGCCACTGCCGCTGCTGCCAGCATTGGCGGTGGTGCCACTGTTGGCCGTGCTGCTGGCGAGGCTCAAATGTTGCGGCTTCTTCGGCATGGTGGTGCTGCTGGCGGGGGGTGCCGCATTTAAGCGGCTACCAGGCCCTGCTCCAGCTCCAGCCCCAGCCCCAGCCCCAGCTGCCCCTCCACCGACGGCTGCCAACTTGAGGGAGGCTTCGAACTAGAGATTATCGGGATAGCTGCGGAAATTGTAGGTTCTGGCCCGCTGGAACTCCGCGGCGGCGGCGGCAGCAGCGGCCGCCGAGCCATTCCCACTGCTGTACGGATTGATCATCGGAGCCGTCGACTGGGAGTTCATGGTGCCCATGCCGTCGTCGTAGATGCCATTGTTGTGCTCCTGCTGGCTGCTGTGGCTGCTCTTGCCACCGCCGCTGCTGACGGTGTTCGTGTTGCTGGTGCCACCGCTGCTGCTCAGGCCCGAGCCGGCCCCCTTGATGGGCTTGAAAATGGCCGTGGTGGCATAATACTTCTCCATGGGCGGCGGCGGCACAGTCGGCGGCCTGGGGAATATGCTGCTCAGCGGTGGCGGCGGTGTCCGCCTAACATTCACATATCCCCCGCCCATGCCCACGCCCACGCCCACGCCGGAGTTTGCCATTTTCGTGGAGGGCATATAGTCCTGCATGTGGGGCACCGCGTAGCCACCTTCCGGCACATCTGTGTGTCGTGCCACAAGGGAAACAGAGAGAGAGAGAGAGAGAGAGAGAGCGAGAGAGAAAAGGTTGGGTTTAGTCCAAGGGGAAATTGACACAAAAAATTTATTTGCATTAGTTTTGCCGGCAAAGCAGCCATATTTTATGATCGCCCAAGCAAACGGAAATGTGTGACGCCAGCGAGGATTTACCGCGGTTTGCCTGTGTGTCTGGGGGTCTTTGGGGGAGGGTTCACTGTGGGGGTTGTACACACCTGTATAGTCTGGCGTCATGTTGCACTGTAAATCATTAACCGCTGCGTAGCCGTTCACGCCGCTCGTGTACATGTTGACGTTGAAGGGCTCGTGGTAGAGGCTGTTCTTGCCGATGGAATCGTTGTCATCGACACTGGCCTGAAAGGGTGAAGAGGGGAGGGAGGGTTTTGTCATTAAAGAGGCGCCCAAAATTCAGAGGATATCCTTTCGATTAGTTGCTGGATTTACACCGAACACAAATCCCTTATCTGTTGCTTTCAAATCTTTCTACTTGGATAGTTTTCCTTCGTGTTGCGTTCAAGTTTTTCGCACACTTTCCCGCCACTTGAAGGGCTAGGGTGGGGAGGGAGGTGGGTGGGAAAACTTCCTTAATCCAATTTTCTCTCTTACACAAGACTTGGCTACGAATCTACTCTCGACCACCTTCTGTTTTGTTCGAACTTTAGAGTATTTTCTTCTCTTTTTTTCTTCGCTCAAGCACTTACGCTTGACCCCCACAAATCAACAGCAGAGTCCGGCCCGTGGTAAGGTTCTATTAAATAAATGCCGGGTCCAGAGAGACTCTCACGTAGAACGCAAGCAATGTGGAAACTCCACGCTACATTGAACAATTATGTGGAAAATTTCGAGCGCAAGGCAGGAATTTCCACACAGAGACCACCCTTCCACTGCACACTCCATACTCCACACTCCATACTCCTTTGATGGTCTCACCTTAATGCTATTGCCATTCTGTCGATGCTTGTCCACATTGCCGCCGAGGGTATTCGGATTGAAGCTGTATTGGAATGCATCCAGGACGTTGCTGCCGCGGGCCCGCTTAGTGCGCGACACGATGAACAGGATGATGGCCACCAAAAGGATAATTATCGTTGTTAGGACAACAATGACAACGCCAATGAAATTCGCATCGTTCGGCTCCTGATCAATGGGCCGTGGTGCAATTACTGCAATGGGAGAGAGCGACACAAAATTGAAATTTTAAATGAACAAACGACACCGAAACGAAATTAAATGTAAATATTGTTCAACTAAATAATTAGCAAAAAACGGAAAAGGCTTTTTTTTCCTCTTTAATTGAATTCAACTTACACTGCGGTCCATTGTTGTACTTGGAGTCGCCGCCGCCGCCGCCGGATGAGGCACCAGTGGCGCCTCCTGCACCTCCGCCATTTGCGGCGACGTTCATTTTATTTTTGCCATGATTGTGCTGATAGTCGTTGCTCTGCAAAGGATACTCGCGTGTATCCTGCGCCTGGCTGGGCGAGTTGCCGTTGCGCTGCTCCTGCTCGTCTGTGAAATTTCCCATGGCGGGGACTGCAAAGGGAGAGAGACACAGAACGAGTTAGATTGGGTTGAAGTTCATTTTCATTTTCATTTTCATTTCCATCTTCAGAAGTTTTGCCGACGCCGCGCACAGCTGCGCTTCAATGATTAGTTTTTCTTCGCCCTCCTCTACCTTTCTTCTTTCGTAGTCCCTTGCCTTCTTACACCTTTCGTTCTGCTTTAAATTGTTTCGCTTTCGACACGCTTTTCTTTTCCACTATATATGACCTCTAACGTGTTCATTTCCTGTCAACTTTTGGGTCTCGGACTCCGTCTCCGACTCGGGGTCTGTTTTACAAAAAAAAAGGTCTTGTGTGCAGATGTTTGATTTGATTTGTTTTTTAAGGGGCGTCACTCGCTCTAGAGAGCCCTCGTTTCTTATGAATATACATTATATTCGGTACATTCGGCTTTTTGTTTTCCTAATGATTTTTAAATGCCTAATATATGCCAGAGGAAACCCTATTCATTGTTAAAGTTATGCTTGGAGTGCGTTTTGATTGGCGTAACTCTGGGCAGGAACCTCCCCATATAGTATCATATGATATCTTGAGTTGTATCAACTTTTGATTATGCCTCACTTTTGGAATTGCTTAAGCAATCCATGAGCTTTGTAACAGTAGAAAAATGGTAGTCACAACTACCATATATCATGAGTTACTATGGGCTATAATGGTTTAGAGTATTGCTAGAACATCTTTCATTGTATATTTATGCTTATATTTTACTCACTTTTTACCCACTGAAACATCAAAGTCGTATCTTCACTATACCATGAGTTATCATAGGCTACAATAGTTTGGAGAACATTTAGATCATATTTCACTATATATTTCAGCTTATATTTGTTCAACTTCCTTCCCACAAGAAAAGTAATGTCGTATCTCCCCTATATCATGAGTTACCATAGACTATAATAGTTAAGAGAACATGTAGAACATCTCTCATGAAATATTCCTGCTTATATTTTTCCTACTACCTTTCCCCATCACCATCAAAGTTGTATCTCTTATAGATCCCGAGTTCTTTGAGTCTGCCATCCTTCTAATTGCCCGCTCGCCGCACTTCCTTTTCCTAATTATTTCTAATCTATCATATCTATCCATTCCATCAATTTTCATTGCTCCATCAACCCCCAGGACTCAGTTATCCTCGGGTTTAATCATCCCCAAACCATCCGCGAAGGTTGATAACTCCAGGGTTCCATAATTCCTAAGGCTTAGGCCTGATTATTAGCTGAGACACTGAGTCTGAGCAGCACCGCAGCACCTGTTCAGGAGTTTCCTTTGATGTCCAAATAATACCATTTCCCAGGCTTATGGAATCGCTCCTCCCAACTACAGAATATAGCAGCATATGGCGGCGATGGTGGCCCCAGAAGTGTTGTCATTTATCTCGCCAACATCTTGAGGGCATAACAAAGCAGAAATGTTTCATCCTCTCTCCCTCTTGTTTTTTGTCCGCTCCGGGCTGGCCTGCTGCTGCCCAAAAAAAAAAAAAAACCAGCGTTTCCTTGAGTGGGTGACCCCGTTTTCTTCAGGACAGTAAATGGCGTAATTACTGTGTGAAGTTCTTGCCTGCCCGCCAGTCGTCTTCGTCCCATGGCTGACTGAGTACGGGGAGGAGTACTGGAGGGAGTACGGGGTCTGGCTGCTGTTTTGAGTTATGTCGCCTGGGCTCCTTAGACGGCAGGCGGGTCTCTCAAGGCATCCCCTGTACAGTTGTGTGTCCTGGCCTGGCCTGGGCTTTTGTTTCGACATTGCCATTGTCCTTCTTGTCGCTGTGTGTTTTTTCCTGTGCGCTTCCCTACTTGTAAAAGGGGGAATATCTCTAGAATCTCTCGCTCTCCCTCTCTCTCTGTCCCTCTTCCAGCCCATTGCCTCCTGGCTCTCTCTGTGGTCGTCATAAAACGTTTAAAATAATTAAAATATTTCGTGCCACATTTATCACACACACACAGACACAGGGGGAAGGCAAAAGTAATGGCAAATATGCCGCATATCCCTTCCTGTTTTTGTGCTCTGTGGCATGCCTCCGTCTTTCTTTTATAACTAATTCTCTTTGTGTGTGTCCCCAGGGTCTCTCTCATCTCTCTGGCTCTTTGTTTTCATGGTTTCCTTTTGTATTTTTAGAGAAAACCTTTAAATATAACTCCAGCGACAGCAAATCACCGCAAGCCAGCAAAAAAAAAAACACAAAAAATACTCACAAATTGGGGTTAAATCTCTCCGGTATAGTGCCTGATAAAAATATACGCACACGAAACGAACACTCGAAAGATACGTGCGTTTTGGTCTTTTGTTTACCCCTTACCCCAGTTCCTTGAGGCCTTTCCCTCGCTCGAGTGGCATACAGAAAAAACAGCTGGTTGCCTCCTGCCTCCTGCCTCGCCATCGCCATCAGATCCCATACCATACCATCTCTGGTATGGTCTCTCGTTTTGTGTGCGTGACAAATGCTGTTTCTGGTTCGTCATGTAATTGCTGGCCCCCCAAAAAGCAGCACACCGCATGGAACTTTTGTGGTTTCCCATATATTCGCTTTTTGTTTTTGGTTATCCTTGGGACGGCGGTTTTTGTGCTGCGTAATGCTTTTCAGGATTACTCGATCTTCAAGTGAATTGTTCTCGGAAAACTTTTGCCCAAGAGGGACATTGTTTGTTTCGTTCGGATAAAAGGATGATTGTTGGAATGATCTTCCCCCCAAAGAGTCCTCTTTGCCTTTCAAAAGATCTTCTGCCCCTCGTAAATCGCTTTCCCATTGAAGCTCCTACTCAGGTAGAGCAGGCCTTCTGCTTGTGTTCCTGTTTTCAATCTCTTTATTCCTAATTGAACTATAAAAATCTCACTAGCATTCGATTTATGGGCCGACTTCCTTTTCGCTATGAAAACACCAACCCCCCTAAATCCCGTAAAACCATCTGGCCGGAAAAATAGTAATATGCAGCACACGGGAAATCCCCTATTCATGCGGCACGCTCTATTTGACTCATCAATCAAATCAGTCCATGGATCCATGGAAATCTATGCCCTAGTCCGCTTTTCACACCTACTGCTGCCTGCCTGCCTGGCCAAGGGTGTGGGATTTCCCTAGATTTACGCTTCGATTGGGGGTCGGGGAGGGAGAAAACCCCCGAACTCTGGAATGAATATAAATGATCTCTGGTTCAGTGACCGCTGCCAAGCCGAGGATCAAAGCAATTTGTGCAGAGGGTTGCAGTTTCCGATGCTAAACATGAGCCTTGCACTTGGTACAATTTAATCAGGACATGCCAAAAGGCACTGGCACCCTCCCGGTGGCAGAGAGAGGGTGGATTCCTACCCCTAAGCCAAGGAGGGAAAGGTCTCTCCATTGAGAGGGATTTTCTTTTCTATGCTTTTGCTTATCTCTCCTGCCCTGCCAGCCTGCCCCTCTGCCGACCATTGTTGCTGGCCAAAATGTTGGAAAAATGTTTTATCCCCTCTCTGTTAAGTGTAATGCATTGAATTTTCCTACATTTTCCAACATTTTCCTACATTTTCCACCACCACTCGAAAGTGAAATGAAGCTGAAAAATGCATTCAGATTCAGATTCAGGTCCTTCTCCCGCTCTTTCTCGGCAATTTTCTGGCAATTTTTATTCATTTTCATTCACTTGCAAGCACGTACGAGTTTTGGAGTGTTCGAGTGTACTCACCAGATATAAAACTGATCTCCGATAGCATTATCCATTTGACGGCAAAGTACAAATTGATTTTCAAATATTTGCCCACACGATGATGGAGCTTAATGGTGACATCCCTGGCATGATCCATTATGGTATCGGGCATGTACGAGAACTGTACGGGCTCGCCGGAGAAGTAACGTCCGCCGATGCTAAAGAAGACTTTGGCATGAACAAAGACCTACAAAAGGAGAGTTAAGAAGGGTTAAAGAATGCCATAGAGGAAGGGGTATACTTTTATTTTAAAGCGGGCTAAATCGATGAATATAATCCGTTCTTTTGATTACTGAACCGCACAATAAAATCACTTAAAAGCCTTCCCCTCTCTTTTCGAAAGGGGTTAGCACTCCCTTTTTGTTGTTGGACTCACCTGAACATCCTTGGTGAACATATTGTTCGTATGCAGGACGATGGCACTGAAATTGCGTACCGTATCGAATTCAAAGACAATTTCAACCGGTTTGCCCATCAGACCGGGCGTATCATTCCGCCAGCCAATCCATTCATAACCTGTACGGAAAAAACAACGAATAAAAAACCATCAGAAAACCATATGAAATGGTGGGCCAAGGGAGGGGGTGGGGGAGGAGAAAAATCAATAGACCAAACCCCAAAAGAACTGACATGTAAAGCTATTTAAGCTTTTGGGGGGTGAAGTTTTCTGCCCCCCAACAAAAGCAAATAAATGCTCACGAAGGTCTAGCAGGGGGGTTGGTGAGTGGTTGGGGGGGGGGGGGAAATAACTAGAAATTATGGCCAATGCGACATTTAAGCCATTGTTTTGTGGATACCACTAGAGGGGCTGCCGGTGGTGCCTTTTGTTTGCATGGCCCTAATTTCAGTGGTGGAGGCCCACCTACGTGGGGGGGGGCTTAGAGAGGGGGTCAGGCAATATTAACTGGCACTACGAATGGTAGCTGGAACCAGAAATTCTACGACAAACAGGAGGCAATCAATATGCAAGTGGAGGGCAAACCCCCCTTCCCCCACCCCCCCACCAAATGCTCGTATTGATTTCCACTTACAATGCAAATCAGCAGCAACAAAAATAACAATAAAAGAGGAGCAAATAGCCGCCGAAAAAAATAAGGAAGGCAAAACTTTTGTCATGATGCAATGCGAACTCCCATTTAATGGGCGGCCACACTGTCTCGACGATGTCTCGGATTCCAAGCGAGACTCGAACTCCGTTCCGCCGGGTGGTGGGGGGGTGGGGAGGGCGCTTCCGGTGCACAGCGACTGCATGTCTAATTGTCTGACCGAAAGTTTTATTCCTGGCGTAAAAAGTTTTCAATAATTTTCGATTATTGGCCATTTGCCAAAACTGTGGCAGGGGCAGGGGCAGGGGCCGGCACTGAAAATGTGCGAAATGGCAAAAAATAAACTTGCGGCGAATTGCGAAAATTCCTCGGGTAGCCGCCGCCGGGGGTGGGGGGGGCGGAAATGAATGCCAGTGTTGCCATAAATTATCAAATATGCATAATGTTTACATTTTTACAGCTAGTCGGTGGAGGATTGGATATCCGTGCAAGTTTTTCCGGCAAATACTAGTCGCAGTCCGAAAAACTTACGGCTACCCGGGTATTATTTATTTCTCGTTTATTGTGTGTTTTGTTGTGGTGTGGCGGCAGGCAAATTATTTGCGAAAAGCCAAAAGTTTGCCCTGCTAGACTGAACCCCCATTCCCCTTTGCCCCTTGCCCCCTTTTTGCTGTTCAATGAAGTGAGCTTTCAGGATCTGGGGGGCGGCGCGCCCGTCGAGACCTTGCCTTATGCTTTTTCCGTCGGTGCAACTTTTGTAATTATTTGATGTTAATCAGTTTTTTCTATTGCCATAAATCTTTATGTAGGCCGGCGGGGGGAGGGGAAGCTTCAGAAAGTTACTGGATTTCAGGGAGGAGGGGGGGAGGGGAAACCTTTTAGGCATCGCAAAAGTTTTGCCTTGCAGGAAGCTGCAGGAAATCTAGAAAGGGAAAATATAAATTGTGTATCTTTTAGGAGGGGATCTACGATTATAGCAGGGTTTTGGGGTCTTCAAAATGGGATAAGAATTTAGATAATGAACTTCCAAGGAAGAGTGGATCGTTACGGAGGGATTTCTGTCCAACAATCTTTGGAGAACCCCCCCAAAGAAGAGATCTTTTCGGAGTAATCAATAATATGGGAGAATATTGAATGGGAGACCTATGTTTGAAGTATTTACTTGCCAAAAAGATAAGAGTATTCTACGAATACCCACAATAAATAGTACCTTAAAATATTGGATATTTCCATCTTCCACTTACCCTTTCCAAAGCCGTGTATATCCGTGCGGAAGTTATCCTTGCCCTTCTGTCCGTCCACCAACTGGCCCAGACCGTCCACATACCGATCGCCCTGCTCATTGCCATCGTATGTCTTGTCGGAGAGATCCACCTCCATGCCGCGCTGCACGCCCTTCGGAATGCTGTACGAGACGATGCCCTCTGCGAAAGGAATACGGAAAAGAAGGAAAGAAGGGAAATTTTAAATACCAAAAGCGATTCGTGGAATGGATACCAAAAACCCCAGAAATAGCGTAACATGAGAACTGAAGAGAGGGGTGGAGGGAGAGAGGGGAGGAACACATGCACACACGTCATGTCACGTCGCGTTCCGTGTCACGTGATGCAGACAAACGACTGACAATATGTGGCAGCCCCCCCCTCGCCCCCCTGTTTGAGGGGCAGGGGGATGGTTTTTAAACTGCGGTAAAATTTTAAGTTTTTCTTGTATTTCTCCCCTGAGCCAAGGCGAAACTTTCCAACAGAGAGAGGGAGAGAGAGAGAGGGAGCAGGATATTGAGTTACTTTTGAAACATAATTTCGTTTTGTGGCCACTCTACTGCGCTCTCTACCCTGTCTGCCATTTGGTTTTTGTGGTTTATTTTTAGCACAAAATTTTCAGAGTGGGTTTCCCCCACCCCACACCACCCCTCCGCAATGGTTTGGGGATTTTCGGGGGATAGTTTTTCAATGTCAAAGTCAAATGTTCGAAGCGGAGCCAAAAGGCACTGAGTCATGTTCGAGTCTGCGGCACAGACCCAAAAACAAAAAGTGTTTTCAAGGATATACCACCCACCCACAATCCGTGTCTGTGTGTGGGTTGGGTAAAGAACAAACACCTGACACTAATTACGTCCATGGAGTGCACTTTCACATCCCCCTCCCACCCCGAAAACAAAAACAATACACATTTTGTATGGAAAAAGGGAGCCAGTCGTTAGGGGTTGCCCGGCCAGGGTGTACTCGGTGTAATTATAGGAAGGATAATGGGGGGGTACGTTTAACTAATTTCCCTAGGATTTCTATTTACACAATCCAGGCACGTGGGGGGCAGGCAAGGAATTTTCCAATAATTACCAAAAATCACATAATTACACATAATTATAGCCGTAGATAATGATGATGATGTTGTTGTCTGTTCGTTCAGGTAGGAAATGACAGTTATCGATCACCGTACGAGTGTGTGGAAAATATTAATTATTATTCAAGGCATACGTTTAATTACAAGAATTAAACAGAAGGACACAGGGACACTGGGACACAGGGACACTGGGACACGCCATGAGGCATACAGAAAATTGTGTATTTAATTAACTGCAAAGACATTTAAGGCGACGCTCGTTTCAGCAATGTCCACCGTCCACCAGCCACATATGAGGGGAGCCAAGTGCTTCTCCTGCTCCTCCTCTGTTTTGGGGCTACCCACTCCCTCAGACCTCCTCCCTCCTCCCTGCCTGTCTGTCTGTCTGCCTTGTTATTCGCGTGCTTGCATGCGATTCTTATTTGCGTGTCGTGGCAGCAGCAGCAGATTGTTGGCGGGGGGGCTAACAGGGAGGATAATACTGCCGAAAAAATGAGCAAAAAAAAAAGTAAGGAACAAGGAGTCCTTGTTTAAGTGCGTGGAAGATGGCAAATGGCAAATGGCGGGGGCGTCTCCACTGAAACTGCAATATATAAAATGTAATTTTTCCCTCCTTTTGTTGTTGTTGTTGGTTTTTTTTTGGGGGCACCCGTCACGCAATCCAAAACGACAACTACAACGACTACAGCGACAACGTTGATGAGTCAAATTGAGGATATAAGATGGATGGATGAGTGGTCTCTTTCAGTGAACTGAAGAGATGGTGGAGATACAGAGGCAGGGGGGAGGGGGAGCAAAAAGGGGAAAAGAGCTGAAGACCCCTTTAGGCAGAGCTCTTTTGGTATTTCACAAAGTGAAATTTAAAGGTAATTTGTTTGCAGAACTACAACTTTTACGAGTAAAAACCGGAACTATATTTTTCATATATTTTCTGTCTGTTGTAGGGTCTACAATCTTCAAAATATTAAGCTCAAACTTGCTGAATATTTACGGAAAGCCATTATATGCTTATATACCAAAGATCTTTATAATCGGAGCATTATTTTTATTAGTGTCTGAATAACAAAAAAAGTTGTGGTGTCTACAATTTTCAAGATATGCCAATGAAACTTGGTTTGTGTAAATAACTAGCTATGATCTATCTATCCGCCAAAATTCAGCAAAATCAGTTTAGTATTTCGCACAGCATAAGTTTTTTTCTACTTAAACTGAAATTTTTAGAGATTTTGATTAGGGTTTGATTATATTTTAATCAGTAATCTAGTACAAGTCTTTCCCACTCTTGGAAAACTCTTCTCCCACTCGAGGAGAGCTACCATAATCTCTGACTACACCCACTTGTCGCTGCGTCACACCGCTTTTAAGCACCAGACCCAAACCCAAACCCAAGCAACTTCTTCAGTGAGCTTCAGGTTTCAACAGCACCTCAACAAACCTCAGGCCGCAATGCCCTTTAAAAGATCCATAAATTATATAGCCATGAATGGGTGGAGTGGACTGGAGTGGAGTGGCGGTGGTCCCCATAAATCCCCGGCTTAACGCTAATCAGTTGTTGCATTTATAATGCACTTCAAGCCCAGTTCCAGTTCCAGTTCCAGTTCCAATTCCAATTCCCATTCCCATTTCCAATAACAAATTCTGATTCCAATTTCATTCGGATGGGATCCGAAGGGCTAAGCTTTGTAACAAATTTGTGTTTAGTGTCGCTTTTTGGGAAATCAAAGTTTAGAGATAATCTCTGGGCCGTTGGGCCCGTGGGCCATGACGTGACCGACCGACCGACCGACCTGGAGGGGCGATCTAACATTTGTTTTTTGTGGATTTTTGTGGCGCTTCCAGGCGCAGCTCTGGGTGCGGCCTCCTGTCCGTGGGTGCGGCGCGGCGCGGTTCGTATCGATTTGCATTTTGAAATGCGGCTACCAACGAATTTATGGCCACAATTTATAAACAATTATGATCCATCTTTGGGCATATTAAATCGAAATGAAATCGACACAGATATAAAGGAAGGAAATATGTTGAACCCCACCCCAACAAAGGTCTGGCACTTGTCTAGACCCCCCGCCCCCCCACCCATTCCGCAGTCTAGTATTCCCCTGCGCTAGGGCTCCACTTTAGTGTTTTCTGTTCTCTGTTTGCGGACCCATTTCCCCATCTTATCTTGTTTAATTTGCATATGAAATGTGCCTCCCCTCGTGCCCTGTGCCCCGTGGGGCAAGCAAATCAAATGACATGGCCGCAAAATGTGTGTGTGTGTGTGTGTGTGTGTGTGTGTGTGTGTGGAACGGTCGGTCAGGAGCGGGTTGCATGTCTGGAAACCTCAAAGCCTCATGCCACCACCGTCGAAGTGGGCGTATGCATAGTTTTTGAGCCCAAAACGGCGGCGCCACTTATCGGCGAGGGCACTCCGCCCCTCCCCCCTCCCCCCAACCCGCTTGGAAAGCGCTGCGTTAATTTACAGAATAATTTTCAACTTCCGCGCCTTTTCCCAAGGGATACCCGAGTCCGCGTACAAATTGTCATTAGGCTCTGGAGCTCCACTCCTCTGGCACTCTGCCGCTCTGCCTCTCTGCCCCTCTGCGCCCCTCTGTGCCCATCTGTGCCCCTCTGGCCCCCCTGGAAATTATAGAAAAATTTGTTTGTCCAGACTTGTTTCTGTGTGGACTCGCGGCTCCGTGCACTACTTGACAATTGCGTGCAAACATCGACAAGACCAGGTTTTTGCTGCCGTTTTTTTTTGCTGCCTTTTTGGACTTGTCGTCGTCTGGGATTTCGATTTTGGTCGGGTTTGTTTTCCCAATGTCTGCACGCGATATTTTTCAAGTACACATGGCCGTTGAAAAGGAACAAAAAAAAGTGCGAGGGTTCGTCTAAATATAGGCGCAGTCTGGCTGGGATTATCTGCTGGAAATTCCAGCTAAAGTGCGGGTTTGCTTCTGTAATTTTCAGGGAAATATCTCTATGTTTGGTTCTTGAGAATAGTATGCCTTGAATTTCAGCTATTTAGAGTACCGCGGAGGCCTGCCATACGGCGGCTTACACGGAGGCATCTATCTGTATCTCTTGGGGCAATGCCATGCTAATTTCGCGACAAACAGACAGACGGGGAGAGCGAACACTTAAGCCGCTTTTGGCCATGGCAGGGGCCTCAAAGCCTCTCCTTCGGTTGATAAATTAGCGGCCGACACTAAAACTCTGTTAGCCTCTCCGCACTATCATTGCTCATGTCGTACTTTTATCGCACTCGAACGACTCACCTTCCCAGGGACAGCCGACGATCTCGGCACGCAGACAGACAGTCCGATCGTACTGGCCGTACGGATAGATGCGTATCTTTGAGGCGAATATTATGGGCTGCAGGGCGTTCTCCACCTCGCTGTAGGTGTTGATGTTGCCGGGCAGAATCTGTGGAGAGAGAGAAGGAAAACCTGTAGGGGCTATGCAGCGGATAGGACGGGCTCGATTCACTTACCTCCTTGCCCTGGGAGTTCTTCCAGCGCTGCCATTTGTCAAAGCCCGGCCGCCAGTACTCGAGGACATAGGCCTCGGTGTACTCCTGGCCCTGGCCCTTGCCGAATCTCCCCTGGGTGCGTACAGCGGTTATCACATGCGTCTGCAGCAGATCGACCTGCAGATACTCCTTGAGCGCATTCGATACCATGTGCTTGGGGCACCAGGCACCGCCATTATTATCGGTTTTCAGTCTGCGGCGGAAACGAGAAGAGAAGAGAAGAGAAGAGAAGACTTTATTAATTAGGCTCCACTTTTACGGTAGCTTTGCTTCGCGAAAAACCAGTTGCCCGACAGTCTTTTGGTGGGCGGGGCGGGGAGTAGGGAAATTTTTTGCTTATAAATTAATTGACATTAAGCGTTGGGGCACCACACGGCATGGGGCATGGGGCATGGTGCTGCTGTCTGGCAGCTCGTCTGCGTTCGTTAAGCTGTTTGTGGCACACACACAGAAGGAGGAGGATGTTGTCTATGTAATTAAGGATTAATTTAAGTTATATCCCAGTCGCAGTCCCCGTCCCAGTCCCCGTCTCCGTCCCCCTCCCAGACCCTGTCCTAGGCCTAAACTTTAATCAATTTCTAGCTGGCAGCCGCATTGATATGTTAACCACTCGTACGCTCTTTTTTGGTTTATATTTCAATTAAGTTTTACATGCTTGATTGCATTTTGGGGTCTGCTGCCGGGCTGCTGCCTTAATGCCTGGCCATTATTCATGGGCCGCTCTCTAGGCCTGGTCTTCTGGCTTCTGGCAGGCCTCCTCCTGTCGTCACAAATTGCTTCATTTGGTCGCTGCCCCCTGCCAGCGGGTTATTGAATCGAATCGAATGGCTTTTGCCAATATCTACGGTGTATGTTTTTAATGTTTTTTCCTTCTCTCTCCTGGTGGTTTTTTAGTTATTAATTTTCATGTCCCTGGCATGTGTGCAGGCCGGTGAAGAGAGCAATTAGTTAGAGAGACTTCCGCCAACTGGATTGAGACATTATTGAAGCGGCAGGGGGTTAAATCTTTGGCCATTTCTTTGCGCACTTTATGCCGAAGATACTCGAGTATCTTACACTCTTTCCTGGCCAAACTGCGATTATTCTCAAGTGCACGGATCAAAGATGAATGGGGGCGAACAGGGAGACGGAGGAGACGGAGGAGTAGCAAAAAAAAAGGTCCATTTAATCTTCATAAAACTGCTGCTGGTAGCAAATATCCTCCAGGCTCGTGGCGGACGGCACGGCACGGCAGGAACATCATTTAAAATGCTAATATCCTCGGTTATGTGCATTTCAACTTGACTTTAATTATTGTTATTGCCCAAGTTAACAATCTGCTGGCCATAGCCATAGCCATAGCCATCGTCATGGTCGGTCTGGCTAACTGCTGCCTCATGGCAGGGAATGTGGGCATCTAATCAGGGGGAGCTTCTTCTGTAATATGTAAAAGCTTGTAAATTTAATGGGCCAATGGCGGGCCAGAGGCTGGGCGGGCCAGGCGGGCCAGGCGGGGTAATGAAAATCAAACAGCGCCAACTGTCATTAAACTAATCTTTGTAATTCAATAGCTTCCTCCGCCTCCCCGTTGCCATCTCCTGGGCTATCCCTAGGGATAGCAGACTCTCTCTCTCTCTCTCTCTCTCTCTCTGCCTCTCCCGTAATGAATTACTTCATGGAGTAGTTTTTCCTTTGCTGCTCTCTCTCTCTGTCTCTCTTTTGGTTGGAGGTAAGTGCACGGCAGCCAGCTCCACACAAATTATAATGCTGCCTGCACTTTTGAACTTTCCTGGTTAGCCTTCTCCCCGGCAACTTTTTCGGCGAAGGGGGGGGAGGGGAGGTCTAAGCAAATTGCAGTTCGCCTGATTGGACTCTCAGTCTGAAGAGTCGGCAGGGGGAGTCGGGCGGAAGGACCGTGGAGGGAAAGACAAAAGAAAGTTTCCTCAAGAGTAGTTTTCTGTGGCGCCTCGTCATCCACCCTCCCTCCCTCCCTCCCTCTCTGTGTGTGGTTAAGGGAACAACAGAGTGAAGGAAAACTTCCACTGCATTACTCGTGGAAGTATCTTTAATTAGTTGGCCTTAAATAAGCGAAGAGCAGAGAAGACTTGATTTAATGCCTAAAACCCTGCCGCTAACCATTAACTCTTGAGTCACTTAACCTCTCTCTCTCTCTGTCTCTGTGGGGCAACCACCAGGCCACGCCACACATTGCCTGTCAATCTGTAGAATCCACTTTGCAGCAGACACACAGAGACCAGCAGCGGCATCAGCGGCATTCATTCGAAGAGACAGTCAGACAGACTGAGAGACAGACCCATCCAGATCCACGAAGACAAACCCGCCTCTCTTTTTAGCCAGGTGAAAAGCAAAAAGAGACTTCTTTCTGTGGGCCCGCATCTTGGGCCCGATCCCCTTCAATTTTTTTTTGATGATGCTGCCGCCTCCTGCCTTTTGTCTTTGCAGCAAGTTCCAGCGAGTTCCACCAAGTTCTTTTTAGTACAAATTCCAGTTAATCTCGACCGACAGACAGACAGACAGTAAAATGTATTTTGTTTATCTGCAACGTGCTCATCACGCGTCGTTTTTGTGGCCTTACTTTAGTGCCCCACACTGCCATAAAGGGTTAATGATGCCTCCCTCTGTCCCCCCTGCCCCCTCCCTCCCTCTATCCACCTTCTACTCTGTCGTTCTGTCGATTTGTGGCTCTGTACTTGAGTGTTTTTTAAGTGCTGCATGTCCATAAACTCTGACAGCCTCAGAAATTATTACAAACCAAAGCAAAGCGAAAATAAAATGCATCTTTCAGGTTTTGATTTCTGCCCCGTAAATCAATGGCGGCGAAATTGACATGTCTGATATTTTACACTAATTACGGGGCCGAAAAAGGGGCGATATTGCGTACTTCCTGCCCCCCCAGAAAATCCCAAAACAAAAGCCAGAAAGAAAATCAAATAAAACTAAACTTTGACTGGGGGAAAAATACCAGTTTTTGTGCATTTAATTAGCTCTCTGCTGCTCGTCTCCTCTTTCTTCAGTCAAAGATATCATCATCATCATCATTCGACTGTCAAAACCATTAAACGGTTGCCAGAGCTCCACTCCCCTCCCCTGCCCTCCCCTCCACGGAAGATCTTTTATCGGGCTTAAAAGGCGCTAGCCCTATACCAAATATTTTCTACACTGCTCGAAAGATATGCAAAATAAGTAGGCATACACATCCACCGATTTGTTTGCCTTTTGTTTCTGGTATTTGTTGATGATCCAACTGTTTGTGTCATAACATAAATTTCCCCCCTCCTCGGAGGGGTGGGGTGCGGTGGGGGGGAAAGTTTTCGATTTTATTGACTCCCGTCTTATCGGACCTCTAATGAAGTTGTCTATAAAATTAGCAATTAAATGAACACGCTCGAGAGAGAAGCGGCAGCCATTGTAGATAAGCCGCCCCACCGCCCCGCCGCCACGCCGCCCCGCCGTCGTGGGGCAGCTTTGGGTTAAACGGATAATGAGCTGGAAGCCGCAGCTAGAGGGAGGGGGCGATGCCCAAGCGGTGGAATCTACAAAGCAGATCTTTAGCACATATCAAGATGCTGACAGGAGCGGGTTTTTTGCTTCAAAAGGGGTTCCGAAACCGATTTTTGGGTTGGTATTTATTAACAGAAAATATTGTGGTGGCTTTAGCTTTAAATTTACCAAACTGAAACGTTGTGGAATCACATATAGGAGTATTACCTACCTAAATACCAAAAATCATTAAGATCAAATGACATTTGTACAAAAAATCTAGGGTAGGGCTTGGCCGATATTTCAGAATTATTTAACCAAAACCATCAACCATTAGTATTATTATACACTTTTACAGCGTATATCCATTCATTACGAGTGCTCTTTTTTGGATTAAATCAATCTTTACACCCGAGACCACTTTCTATGGCCCAAACTCTAGGATTTTCTGTAGCTTTGACTTCAGTTCTCAGCATTTATTTTCCCTTAACCCGAACAACCTCTCTAACCTCGCTGAACCTTCTCCAATCAGGAAACTCTTTCTCTTTGGCTGGTGGGAGCGAGACTTACCTTGCATGTTGAGGACCCACAAAGCCAGTGTCATGGGCCGAGCTTGCTGTGATTTGAGCATCTGTTATGGCTCCCGACTCCATGCCCAGGGGCACGTTGCATGTGGCTGAAACAAGAGAGATATTTTTGTTGAAATTTAAACAAGAACTAAACACTTTAATTAATGCTGATGTTTGTGTGGAGCCATCGCCCATATAAATATAGAATGCAGTGCTTCCCGATGGAAGCAAGCAACGCCCATCGAATCTATCAAAATAAGTGAAGCGTCAATTTGACTTTTTTGACATTTGCTTTTGGTTTTGGTTTTGCTTTTGGTTCTGGGAGATGGAGACGCCCAGCGGCCCTATCGCTTTCCCAGGCAGATCTCTGGGAGCCCTCTGCTCGCTTATGAATGCATCTCTATACTCATTTTGAATAAACCAAGCACTTAATCATTGCCAAAGTCAACTCCTGGACCAGGGACTGGCAGAACGTCAACTACTTTACTTAATTTATTGCCTACCAATTGCATTTGGCAGAGAGAGACTGAGCGAGTGAGTGAGTGAGGCATCCTGCCTTCAGCCTGCTGCCTTCTCCCTTCTGCCTTTGAAGATATGGTAGTCCAGAGGCCGACCCGTCCTCCATCTCCTCGCTCATCTCTCGAAGTACGTCTGACAGTCGCCTGCTGACATTTTCGCCAGAATCAACACTGATTTGACATGACTTTTGTTGCCCCGGCCCAGCGGGCGCATGGACCAATCCCACTTTTGATCTCCTCCCAGCATCAGGCACCAGGCACCAGGCACCAGGCACCAGGCACCAGAGGTGCGTGCATTCGTTTAGAAGTTTATAAATAAACACATGGCACAGGGGCTTGGACTGTATTGGGTTGGTGGGGGCGGTGGGCGGTGGGGGGAGGGCCAAATCAGGGGCAGGTGGAGGTACTGAAGCGTGGCCGGGGGCGGGCTTAGGGGAAGCCATGGAATCAGGCATCCAACCAAACCCAATTGGAGCTTGTGGAGGTGGAGGTTGTTGAGAGAAATCTAGCTTGTGGTTGAGTTGGTATTTTAGGTATTTTTTTGAAAAACTAACACTCTTTACTCTGTATTTCCTAGTATTTATGTGAGTATTTAAGTTTGTAACAGAAATTGATCATGAACTAAGCTTGGTATTTTGTTTGGTATTTAATAAAATATATTTTGGTTTATTAGTTGGTATGAAAATTAAATACCGAAGTTTTTAGCTTTTATTCAAAATTATAATATTTTAATTAATTTTGTATTTTTTTGGTATTTTTAATAATTCTAGTATTTTTGGTGTTTAATGGAAAAAATCTGTGTTTTGCTAGAATTTAACTACTGATATTTAAGAAATATTTTTGGTTCACTATTTGGCTATTTATTTTGGTATTTTGGAAAACAATCAAAAAACGTATTTAAAAATAAAAAATCTATTTTGCTGAGTGTATTGTAGCCTTTTTTGATAGAAATTAAAAGACTAACCCTTTGGCATGACTTTCCTCTTATTTCACCCAAAAATCTTTAGTATTTTATGGTATTTTCCCAAACATATTTCCCATCTCTGGTGAATTTTTGAGTGCAACATCTGGAGCATTCGCACTTGATTGGATTTGATAGCTGGCAATGCTAATGTGTAACGAAGTGCCTGGGTCTCGGTGCCCAGGTTGTCAGGAGGTCAGAAGCCACTCTCCGCCTAGTGGAAGGCTCTCCACATACTCCACGGTGGGACTCTGACTCCGACTCCGACTCTGGCTCTGGCTTTTGACTGCATATTGCAAGTGCATTCATTTGGAAAATTGTTGCATGTTTTGCTAACTCAACTCGCTTCGAGATGTGTCTAGCCCCAACAACAACAACAACAACAACAGCAGCCAGACGATGGAGCCCCAGAGTTCTCCCAGGGATTGTGTTTGCTTTACAGAACGGCTAGAGCAAATATTGCAAAAGGCAACAACAGTCTAGGGTTTTTTTTGGGAGGGAATAAGGGACCATGTTTATAAATTTGTATTTATGTATTTGTGTTGCTTGATTAACTATAAATATTATGGCAGAAAAGATGTTTCCAAAGGGAAAAGAAGACTTCCAGGAAGTCTTTTCTTCAAAGAAAATAAAGCCTTGGAGTTTTCTTTCACAACTTGCTCTATATTTGTGCCATTTTATTGCCATTTCTAGTATAATTTTTGTAATCGAATTCGCTCCAGAAATCAATAATCCGGGAACCCTCTTAGCATACAAAGTATTCTTCCAGTTGAATGCCCCACTGTTTATGTGTTGCCCATTCTAATTCAACATCCCTCCCCCCCCTGCTTATGGGGCTTTTGTGCCGTCCATCGCCAGAGGAGGAGGCCGAAGCCCCGTCTCTCGGACCATATCATATCGAAATTTATGAACCGCTGACATGCCACGGCCATTGAAATTGGCCATAATCCTAAGCCACATGTCTCCGCTATGGCTTCATTAAAGCCCACTCTCGGGCACTGCTACTACTGTGTACTTTTCTGTTTCCAAGGAAGCGAGGCTTTGCCATCTTCCCCTCCGTTCCCTTCCTGTCTTTTCCTTTCACTTTAAAGACGACATAAAAATGTCAATATGCCTATTAATGAGCGGGAGATGGGAGCAGTAGATGGGGGACGGGCCATCCAGCCATGACTCCTTATGGGGCATGCTATGCCTGCAACATGTCCAGGCAGGCACCCCATGGCGAGCGCCAGCGAGAGGAGAACTCCAACAGTGCCGCCGCCTGTCCGCTGGCGGTTGGAAAATGATGAGCCACATAAAAATTGGCTTTCAATGTCAATTAAAATAAATTTAACCAACAAATGGAGAGTCGTGCACGACCCCCAATCACCCCCATCGGAGGGCTCTAGAGGTATATACGAGTATCTTTTGATTGATTCGTATGAGTGGCTGTCTTTGAGTTTTGCGAACCGAGTGGATGGATGGCATGAATACTCACCGATTTCGAAAGCCTGTATGGTCGGCGTATTGAGCAGTAGGCAGCAGCATCCAATGGCAATCATTAGGGCCAAGGGGCATCTTCTGGCGGTGGCATTGACTGTGGGGCAGGTTGATGTTGAGGATGCTGAGGGTCTGGCGGGGGAAAGGCACTGGCGGGAGAACATTTTGCTGCTATGCTTCATTCTGCTGCGAGGGGGAGAGATCTGTAAAGGTACGAAAAAGTCAAGAATGTGAAATTATTCAATGGATTTTAACCTTTAAACCGGTCTGTTAGCCTTCAACCTTCTGACTGTCCGTCTGTCTGTCTGTCCGTCCGTCCGTCTGTCTGTCTGTCCGCCTGTCTATCTGTCAGTTGTCATTCTTGCCATCTCTCAATCTTTGACTGTTGTCTCTTCAATTAGAAAGCATCACTCGGCTCTGAATGAATCGGAAACTCAATTGATGGCCAAGCAAAATCGCTTCTCTTTTGGCCATCATCGTCTCCATTGACTTTTCTCCTTGGCTCTTCTCCGATTTGGACTTGAATGAATGCAAAGTGAATGTGCGTGACGACGACGACGACGACGACGAGAGCAGGCAGCACAATGTGGCAGCATGCCCCACCCCCTCCCTCCCCCTCCCCTCTGCCTGGGAAGATGACTTTGTGCTTTTCATTTAACATTATTTTGCAACAATTTTTGCTCCAAGAGTCAGACATGTGGCAAGAGCCAAGAGATGCCATAGAAAGCGGGCAAAAGCAAACATGTTCTCTGGCTCTCTGGCTCTATGCCTGCGTCGTGCCCCTTGTGCCACACGGGCCCGGCACGGCACGGCCCGGCTGCCGTTGCTGCCACTGCTGGTTATCCCATTCACCGATGTCTAAGCCAGTTTCCGCTTTAATTTAACGCTGGCTGGGCGAAAAGGAAAAACCAGAACACACACACACACCCTCCCCGCCCCCCGGTCCCCGCCTCCCCGATCGCCCCCGTTGCCGCCAGCTGTTGGAGCAATTTAAGAGCCAAAGCTGCTGCAGGCAGGCTCCACCTCCCCCTCCCCGCCTCCCCAAGAAATGTATTTAGTTTATGCAAAGCGTGCGGCACAAAAAAAAAAAGGGCAAAAGGTAGCGCCAGATGATGAACGTGAGTGTCGCAGGACACGGGACACGGGACACAGGACACCCGGCTCTGGCCCGACCCGACCAGTGAGCCGGCAAAAAGGACATCATCCCGACGACCCTCCCTCCTACGTTTTCTGTTTAGTTTGCAAATTTCTTTTGATGTCTTTTAATTTTAATGAGTTGAGGCTGTGGCAGAGGCAGAGGCAGTGGCAGTGGCAGAGGCAGCCCTTAAGTAAAACTAATTAGAAGCGAAAGAGGGAGTGGAGGAGGCGCCTCCAAGAGGGCATAGAAAGGGTAGATGGAAAGGAATGTGGCATCCGTATCACATTGGATCGGCGCACACTCCATTTTTGCCATTGTATTTCCCAGATGCCCCTCTTCCTTGGGTAATGGAAACCACTCGTATTACAAGATGCATGCCACACTGGCACTTCGTGTGTGCCTGTATCCCTGATTCCTATCTAATAAATGTGGCTCTGGCTCTGGCTCTGGCCAGGTTCTTGAATCCCTTCTCTGTGGCATGTCCTGGACATGCAAAAAATTGTCTACGTCATGAGGCAATTTGTCACGCAGCTGCTGCTTCTCAACTGCACAGATACGGATACAGTTCTCTCATGTGTGTGTGTGTGTGTGTGTGTGTGCGCCCCCCCCTGTGGGAGGAGGAGAGTCTTGTCAATAACTCAGCGCTTAATTGCTCATCTCTCAACGTCCAGGGATCCAGGGATCCAGGGACTGCAGCCCTATATCGACTGGTCTCCGGATCTGGGCCGAACGGCAAGCCAACAAATTAGAAAATACCAGAGAAATGCTGGCTGTCATAGTTTCAACTTGCTGCTGCACCTCTCGTCTTGCAACCTGGCACACAATCTAGGTTAAATTAATAGTGACACTCGCCTCGGACTCGTAGCAAGTTCCACATGCCTCTCTGCCTCTCTCCCTCTCTGCCTGGCTGCCGCACCTGGCGGTGATGCTTTGATACCCCGCCTCTTGGCCTGCGGTCGCCTGCTTCTTGGGGGCAACTTCTACTTGCCTCTTCCGCGGCTCCTCTGTTTGTTTGGCTGCATTTTTCGTACGCGAATATTTCATAAATTGAAATGTACAGTTAGTTAATTACACGCTCAATTGCCTCTAAAAGAGTGGCATTAGCCAAACGTCCGTGTCCTCCAGACGCTGCAATTTCTTCCCAGCTCCAGCATCTCCGCTTCGGCCACAATTTTTAATGGTTGTCATAAAGAGATTTATCGCCTAATGGCCGAGTAGTGCTAATGCTCGAGTGCTCGAGTGGATCGGCGTGGCATGCACTCCATGGGGCGGAGTTTCGGTGCATTTTCCGATCCGATGCCAGTGATCATTGGGCGCCTAAGCGCAAGACGTTATGTACGATTGAGAATTGTGATATAATGGTTGCTTGAATGCAATTTGGACAGGCGTTGTGGGATGGTAAGACATGAATAATGGAATGGTGGGGCAAACATTTTTCACTGGGAGGAATTTTCCCTGGAAAATCGATGGGAAATGCTATACAAGTGATCGATAATTATCGATAGCTGTGAAGAAAATCGATTAAAGATCGATTTGATAGCCAGTTTTCATTTAAAAGTGATCGATTTTGTGTTTCTGTTATCGATAACAATAAATTATATATTTCCATTAAGAAAAACAATGAAAAAATTAAAACAAAATCATACATATTTTTTTGGAATTATTTTAATCGATAATTATAATTTTGCTCGATTAAATATCGAAATTATCTTTGAAAATCCCCGGAAAATAAATAAATATGACCGATAACTGCATCATTTTCGATAAGTTATCGGTGAGGTATCGCTACAGGATAATTACTTGAAATCGATGAAATTTTCTGAAATCTTTTGTGTTTCAATGAAATTTGTGCTCCACATTCGATACAAATACCGATAAGCCGCTATTTATGGCTATTTTTGGTATCTGTTGTACTCCCATCGCCGCTTAGTTCCCCCCCACGCCTTTGACACATCAAACCGCACTCCTTAAATGTAATCTAAATCTTTAATTTTCCCCTTTCGAAAATCCGTCGCACAACCCACAAATCCAACGACCAATTTAGTGGCTAACTGGCGCTGTGGACGCGCCATCATCCAGTGGCAGCCATCAATCAAAAAAGTTTCCATTTTAAATGTCAACACATTCACACACGGAACAGCAGGCCACAGAACCCTACCACCCATGCTCCACCCTTCGCTAGAGAGAACTTTCCCCCCCCTTAGACCCCCTTAATTTGGGGACTCTTTCTCTCACTCTGCCTCGCTCGCTTTCTGTCGAAAAACTAAAACAAATTGCAGCCAGTGCGTGGCTTCGAAAATTTAAACATCAAATCTCTGTGTGTCTCGGGGTTGGGGCGGGGGACGGACGGACTTCCTGATTAACTCGAAAAAACAACAACAACAACCTCAAAAATCCAAGAGGAATAACAACAACAAAAAATACCACCACTGCATGCAACAAAATTGATTAATTGATGAGGCACACAGAATTTTCAATGGAATCTGGGAATCTGGAGCAAGCAGAACAGACATTTAGTATATATATATATATAGGAGGCCACATGGCCCGATCCGATCCGATGCGATCCGAGACACAATTTGCATAAATCGAAACACAAAAGCGAGCTGTGGAAAATCGGGAGCAAAAGATATTTATCTTGTTGCAGCCTCTGGCTGGGACTGCGGCTGTGGCAGGGGCAACGCGTCGAGTGTTTGAATGAGTGTCAAATTAAATTGATCAATTAAGCAATTGACGTGGCTCGACATCGGCATCAACATCAACATCAACTAGGGATTCGGATTCGGATTCGGATTCTCGTATTTGGATTGGAATGGAGTGCAAACCCTGGAAGGGAAGGGAAGGGAAGGAAAGGGAAGACCTAAATGCAACATCTGCAACACAAAACAAGTGACGCAAATTGTGGAGGGGCACTGGGGGGAGGATGGCTCCTCATTCTAGTGACAATTTCTGTCAATTCAGCGGCGCTAATCAAGCCAGAGACAGCCGAGGCAAGCCAAGCCAAGCATTTAAATAGGGCTGAAGGCAGCACCAGAGAGAACTACTAGACAAATTGGCTGCGATTGCAGTTAGTTAGAGAGAGAGTTGGAGCGGCTTAAAGCCGAACGAACATGCGGGTAGGTGCCCCCCAACCGCCCCAACCGCCCCCTCCCGACAGGCAGCAAAACCCACAGTCGACAGTCGACAGGCAACGTCATATAATCCATCAACTCCCGCAGACAGACAGCTGCAGCTACAGCTCTACAGCTGTACAGCTCTAGAGCTACAGTGACGACTCGAATTTCCCCCTCAGTTGTAATCAAATCAAATGACAACGCCAGACAGGAGGAGCCCCATCATTGCAGAGGCAACTTTGTGTTGGCAAAAACGGAAGGGGCAACGGCAACGGCAACACAGAAGCAACAACTCCAACGAGGAGGAGCAACAGAAGGAGGAGCAGCAGAAGGAGGAGCAGCAGAAGGAGGAGGAGCTCTGGGAGGACTATCTGTGGGTGGAAGGATGGCTCCTCCCTGTCTGCTGCTGCTCCATTGTCACATTTGATGGCCAACACTTTTGATGATTTAATAATGGCTTGTGTCCACCGTGAGGACAAAGAGAAAGAACTGAAAGAACACGGGATTTAGTTGCGTGGATAATGGAATACAATAGAGAGAGAGAGAGAGAGAGAGATACAGAGATTTCCTAATGAAAGAGGGGAGACCAAGACACAGACAGGGACCTTGACTTTCCCGGAACAATGGGAGATCCAGAGGAAACAGAAATCATCATCGATACTGCGTCAGGCATTCCTTTTCCCTTTCTTTAAAGTCTCTCGGGATCTTCTTTCAGTAGAAATAATTTGCATAGCATTCGGCAGTTGACAACTTTTTACTGTCTGTGGCATAAAAAGCAGGACCCCCCCCCCCCCCTACGCCCTGGATGTGTTTGTCTAGTATTTGTGACAGGCCTCGAGGAAACTCTGGAGGAAAACTCTCGACTGTCTGTCTGCCAGCGTCAACAAAAAAAAGAAAACTCGAAAGAGTCCTCAAGTGGGTAAAAGTGGAAGTGGGGGAGTGGGGGAAAGTG